TATAGTGTGGTATATATTCCATAAATTAAAACGAACCATATATAGTGTGGTATATATTCCATAAATTAAAACGAACCATATATAGTGTGGTATATATTCCATAAATTAAAACGAACCATATATAGTGTGGTATATATTCCATAAATTAAAACGAACCATATATAGTGTGGTATATATTCTATAAATTAAAACGAACCATATATAGTGTGGTATATATTCCACAAATTAAAATGAACCATATATAGTCTGGTATATATTCTATAAATTAAAATGAATCATATATAACGTGGTATATATTCCATAAATTAAAATGAACCATATATAGTCTGGTATATATTCCATAAATTAAAACGAACCATGTATAGTGTGGTATATATTCCATAAATTAAAACGAACCATGTATAGTGTGGTATATATTCCATGAATTAAAATGAACCATATATAGCGTGGCATATATTCCATAAATTAAAATGAACCATATATAGTCTGGTATATATTCTATGGTGATGATGCTAACACTGGGTAACACCAGGCTACAGCTGATGCTAACACTGGGTCACACCAGGCTACAGCTGATGCTAACACTGGGTCACACCAGGCTACAGCTGATGCTAACACTGGGTAACACCAGGCTACAGCTGTTTTTGTTTTTTGTTGAACTGGAACGTGGTCAAGTTGTGTCTGACCTCCGACTTGTGAGCTAAATGGAACACAACATTAAACACAACCTTAGGCATGTAATCTATAGTGACACGATAAGCTAACGATGTAGCAGGGCTGAGTTCTGCCCCCTGGTGGTCAGACTTAATGCAGCCTCAAAAACAGGATATGTAATCAGTTTGTTGTTGTTACACTCACGTGAGCTGGATGAAGATGGCAGAGGTGATTTTAATTGAAGCACACACAGTTACTGTATATGTTTCTATAGGCTAACACACACAAACACACACACACACACACACACACACACACAGTGAAGTGAGGGCCATTGTAAAGTCAAGAGTTTGCCATTCTCCATAGCTGCTGAGTCCAATCCACGTTATGGGCCTTCCATGGCTTTCCGACTCATTGTGTCTGAAGCTGTATGTGCTGATGTCGGAGCTGCCTGTCCATCTAACGGCCATTTGCCTGCTCCATTAGTTCTTATGCATGTGTGTGTGTGTGTGTGTGTGTGTTTATGTTAACACAGGTTTAGTAACTTGGACTCCTCAGAGCCTCAGCCGACATCAGCACTTTACAGACAAGAGAAAAGCTTCCAACTCTGATTCAGTAATGACAGAAGGAGTTTACAGAGAGGAAGGTGTGTGTGTGTGTCGTTCATCATCATCATCATCATCATCATCACATCATGACTCATAAATAATAAAAGTCTCTTTCTTTACTATAAATGATTTCATCTGGTCCTCGTTCAGCCGTCACACAGATCTGTATCCACAGCTCAGGTTATCAAACATTAACCCCATGACAGAGAGCTTCAACAGGGGGCAGCATACCATACTGTTAGCTTCATCTTCGTCATCATCATCATCATCATCATCATCAGAGGGGAATATTAAAAACAATCAGAAAACAACAAGAAGTCACAGAGAAGAGGAGGAGGAGGAGGAGGAGGAGGAGGAGGAGCAGAGCAGACGGAGGAGGAGACAGAGGAGTTATAAATGAAGAACAGAGAGAGGGAGGAGGAGGAGGAGGAGTGCGGCTTTGCAGTCATTAATTAGCCCGTTAGCTAGGGCCCGGGCGGTGCGGTTAGGGCCTGCGCCTTTGTGGGCCCGAAGGAAATGGGCCACATATGAGAGCCATTATAGGAACTGACTTAACAAAGACACATGCCTGTCAGCCACCAGGCTGGGCTGGGCTGCTCTGCTGACGCTCCGCACACAAAGGGCCCACCGCCGCCAGCCCTGTGTGTGTGTGTGTGTGTGTGTGTGTGTGTGTGTGTGTGTGTGTGTGTGTGTGCGTGCGTGCGTGCATGCGTGCGTGCGTGTGTTGCAGGGGAATATATATATATGAAGAGTCCACATGTGTGCAGTAACATCAGCTGTATCTGCTCTCAGTTCATATCATGATACACATTTNCTGTGGTGAACAGTCTGTCACTGCTGCTGGGAAACACTTCAGGCTGCATGGGCTGTGATATCTGGGTCATTTTAGGAGGGTGAAAACTGTAAAAACCCAGTCAGTGAGTTTTGATACTGGAGGAGACGGTGAGCCAGGGAGGAAGAGGATGAAGGCACACTGAACCATCGGAGGAAGAGGATGAAGGCACACTGAACCATCGAAGACAAAAATGTTTTCCAGCAGCTCTGAAAGGTTCGTCTGACGGGCGGTGCAGCAGGTCAATGCTCCACGATTGTTTCATCAGCGTGCTGAGCTCCTGACACTCAATGTGTGGGATTGACATGTTTACTGGGCCAACACCCAGCATGCCTCAGGAACCCCCCCCCACACACACACACACACCCACACACACACACACCCATCATCGCTCCTCAACAGGAGGTGCCGTCACACTCCTTCTGATAAAAAACATCTGAAGTCAGAAGTTACAGAATCTGTCAGCCAGTGACGGACAGCTGTGACCGACCAGTGACGTGAGGTTAAACTCCTTAAAGGGCCAGCACGTCAAGCGTCTGATCCCGCCCACTCTGCGCCGGCAGAGTGAAGCAGCTGCCTCACTGTGTTTTTTCTGAGGAGTCGTTTAGTGTATTTATTCTGAAATGTAATTACAGGCTGCTGAATGGGAGGCGGCGCCCCATTTGCACACATGTCATATTTCATTAAAGGCAGATTTCTCAGGGTTTGTCTGTAGGGCATTATCCTATCAAGTCTCAACAGCCAAATGACTGGCTGATATTGGAATCTGTCTTTCTTTTCACTCTCTCCATCCTCCCCGCTCCTTTGTGAGGCTGTGAAAGGTGGAATGTGTTGTGATGGGAGGTGTGGACTTGTCCAAACAGAGCCTGTCGTATGTCGACCTACAGTAACGTGTCGGCAAAACAGCCTAAACAAAGAGCAGCTCACCTAAACACCTCTCTGTTTCTGTGTCTGTCACACGCTTGTTTCTCTGTGTCTGACACCTGAAGACACGCATCAGCATCGTCGCAGCTTTTAAAGACTCATAAACACACATAATAGAAGAAAAAAATATGTTTTGACTTCACGTCCTGGGTCTCATTCTGAAAGTTTGGGATTTTATTACTGACAGTTGGGACGACATTTTACAAGCCAACTTCGGGCCGATCTTCTTCCTGCTGTGTTCCTGCAGACGACAGGATACGTGTTCCTGTTCTGAGCGTTCACACAGAGAAATGAACGGCTCACCTTTCAGAGACGTGCGGTCTGTGAGCAGAGGCGTCACACCAAGGCGCTGCTTTGGTTCTTAACTAACTGAAAGCACAGGAAGTTCATCCAACCTAAAGCTTCATCTGCTCTCCACCCTGCTGGAGTTACATCTCCAAATCTCAGCCATCAAAATATTCGGATATCTGAGAGGAGCGAATGACAGGCGCTCTGAACCGTGACGATGACGTCATGACACCATGTGACCATCCCTACCTGCTCCTGCTGCTGCCGGGCCAGCTCCATCTGTTGTCTCTGCTTCTCCAGCTGTGAGGCGGCCATCTTTTTCTGCTCGTCGTGGGCAGAGAGGAGCTGCTCCCGAAGACTGATCAGCTGACCGATCATAGTGGAGAGTTGGTGCTCCTTCTCCTCCAGCGACTCCGGCGTACCTGCACAGGTAGACAGAGAGGGAGGGGCTTTAATTTGATGCTGAAAGCTGGAAAGGTCTTTGTCATCGCATCACTCATCACGTCACAGGCTGTTGGCGTCGACAGCTAGCTAGCTTGCTGCTAACTCACAACAGTGGACGGTTTTTGAAAGGAGCTGACGAGCAGACCAGAAGCCCCGCCCACTAATCCGCAGCTGCAACAAATCTCCTGAGGTGTGAGGCAACAGGTGTAGATTTACTGCTGCGTGTAAGAATCACCATGAAACATGTTCTGTGCTTCTCAGATGAGTTTTTAGAACCGTCTAAATGTGTCGGCTGAAACAACAGAAGAAGACTGTGTGAGGCGCTACTGTCTCCTACGGGCCCTGAAGGCATCATTTTAGGTTTCATACATTTCTACATGTGCTGCAGTGTTTTCAACGGGCTTTAATGACATATTTACCAAGAGAGGCCCCGCCCATAAGCTGATGCTGTCTGAGGGGGCGGGGCCTGAACACCTGGGCTGGAGCATGGTACTATCTTTATTTTATTTTGTTGGTTTATATGTGTCATTCTATTCAGTTTTTACTCATTCATTGTGTTTAATGGTTTACTTTTAGTATCATTATTTTCAACAAATTCTTGAGCAGTTGTGAGTCACACATCTCTGTATCTTTATTGGTTAATTCTTCATCTTAGTTATTATTTATGAGGTTTTACTCTTAGTTTAAACAGATGTGATCGGTTGCTGGCTTTGTTTTGTGCCTCTGATGTCTGCCTGACACTGTGTGCAGCACACTGTGTTTCCACCTGAATGAGCCAAATAAATAAAGTTGTCTTGCATAGTTTAGATGTTCAGTCTCCATTTAAAATCATCATCATCATAAAATCATCTCAGAATCAGACCTGTTCTGTTGATATGACGATAAAAACGAAGAGAAAACAGACAGAAATGTGGTGAAGATTTACGGTGATGTTCAGTTTGTGTCTTGCTGCAGACAGACGCCACAGAAACTAGTTTATTTTGCTTAAAGTTCCAGAAACATAAAAGCAAACAAAAGAAATGAAACATGTTTGTTGAACAGATTTAGAAAGTGTCTTGTATTTCCATCTCTCTACTTATTATGTCTCTTCCTGTCTGAACATGCCGTCACAGTTTATCACTCAGTGTCTCCCAACAACAATAAAAGTTCACCTGTGAAGAGTCGGAGCTCCTGTCAGCTTTATGACGAACACATTCCTCAAAGGTCGGGAGGAGGGACGACACACACACACACACACACACACACACACATACACACACTGAACGAAAACTGTGTCACAACTTTGACTTCATCAGCAGCAGCATCTTCATCACCCTTAGTAACAAGTCTTCATCACAAAGCTGGCCCCGCCCTCTTTTTAAGGTTTGTATTCAACATGATTATTTTGTCAATCACATGTTGTTAAACATCGTTTCTCTTTTTGCCTCGTGACTTTCGAAGCAGTCGTGACTTTCAAACATAAAGCGGAGGAGGTGGAGGAGGAGGATGAGGAGGAGGAGGAGGACAGAAACACAGCCGTCGACAGGACGCTGCCCTCAGAAGCGTGTGAGCACCAGCAGCAGGTGACGTTAGAGCTCTAGATATGCTAACGTTTGTGCTAACGTTTGTAAGCATTAGCCCACGTCCTTCATCACCTTCACCTCCTTCATCTCTTTCATTACCTTCACTTCCTTCACCTCCTTCATCACCTTCATCACCTTCACCTCCTTCATTACCTTCACTTCCTTCACCTCCTTCATCACCTTCATCACCTTCACCTCCTTCATTACCTTCACTTCCTTCACCTCCTTCATCACCTTCATCACCTTCACCTCCTTCATTACCTTCACTTCCTTCACCTCCTTCATCACCTTCACCTCCTTCACCTCTTTCACCTCCTTCATCAGCTTCACTTCCTTCATCTCCTTCACCTCCTTCATCACCTTCACCTCCTTCATCACCTTCACTTCCTTCACCTCCTTCATCACCTTCATCACCTTCACTTCCTTCACCTCCTTCATCACCTTCATCTCCTTCATCACTTTCATCACCTTCACTTCCTTCATCACCTTCACCTCCTTCACCTCCTTCATCACTTTCATCACCTTCACTTCCTTCATCACCTTCACCTCCTTCATCACCTTCATTACCTTCACCCCTTCACTTCCTTCATCACTTTCACTTCCTTCATTACCCTCACTTCCTTCATCACCTTCACCTCCTTTGTTACCTTCACTTCCTTCATTACCTTCACCCCCTTCATTACCTTCATCTCCTTCACTTCCTTCATCACTTTCACTTCCTTCATCACCTTCAACTCCTTCATTTCCTTCACTTCCTTCAC